CATTGTCTTAGTTGCCTTTTACTCCTTTGTTTCTGGCTGTTACTTCTTTAGTTTTCCTGGAACAGTACTTTCTTCAGGGTTTCTTGGAGAGCTGGCCAGTGCTGGCAAATTCTTTCAGGTTTTGTTTGTCTGAGAAGATTTTAATCTTTTTTTCCCATATGAAGGATAATCTTGCAGGATACAATAATCTTGGTTAAAATTGTTTCTCTCTTAACACTTTCAATAAATCTTCCCATTCTTTTCTTGCTTGCATTGTTTTTGTTAAGAAGTACGGTCTTATCCTGATGGGGTGACCTTTGTAAGTCACTTGTCATTTCTCTCTTGCCAGTTTTAGTATCTTATCTTTATCTGTGGTCTTAGCCATCTGGCTATTATATGCCTTGGGGAAGATCTTCTTGGGTTGATTCTATTTGGGGTCCTTTGTATTTCTTGGGTCTAGATACTTGAGTGCCTCCCTAGACTTGGGAAATTTTCTCCCAAGATTTCATGGAATAGGTTTTCCATGCCCTTATTAGTTTCTTCATCTTGTGAGATACCAATTATTCGGATGTTAGAATGTCTAGTGGAATCTAGTATTTCTCGTATGTTATTCTCATTTTTTTAATTTTCTCTATCTTTTTGGTGGTTTTTCTCTAGGTCAGAAGTTTTATCTTCTACATCAGAGATTCGATCTTCAGCATGGTCTAATCAACTTTTAATACTTTCGAGAGAGTTTTTGATTTCCTGTATTACAGACTTCACCTCTAATAGTTCCATCTTATTCTTTCTTAGCGTATCCACTTCTTCCTTCATAACATGGAAGGACTTTCTCATCTCCTGTAGTTCATTGTCTCTTTTTTGTTCCAGCTCATAGTATTTGTTCAACATGAATATTCTAAATTCTATCTCGGACATTTTGCTAATGTCCTCTATTTTTTCAAGAAAAGGAAGGGAGTCACTGTGTTCTTTTGATAGAGACATTTTTCCTGCTTTATTCAGACCTGAGGTTCTTCTTCAACTTCTAACCATTGAGAGATGTGCTCCCTTTGAAATACCTTTTAAGAGAATGTTTTCTCAAATAGGAGCAAGTGTGTTTCCTTTTTGCTGTGGAATAAAGACTGTCAAAGTCTCTTTCTGTTATGTTTAGCAATGTGATCCAAGGAGGAGTATTCTCATTAGGTGTACAAAAAGAAAAAGTATCTCCTAGCTAACAGAGAGAGGGATCTCTGGCTTGGGGGTCTAGGGGCTGGAGCTGCGGCGGGGAGTCCTGCCTCAGAATTCCTGGCCCAGTGGTCAGAAGATGGGAGTGGGGTGTCTGTCTATCATATATATTTATAAAAGAAAAAAAATCATAGTAGAAATAACTCAGTGGTAAGTCATGTTTACATAATAATAACAAAATAAATACAGATTTAACTAAGCAGTATAATGATATTGATTTGAGAGATGGGAAGTGTATACCATGGATAGGCATGGTATACAAGAGATTTATCTTCATCTGTCATATAAGAAGAAAGTAGATAATGTATATAAAAATGACATAGTAAGAAAGAACAGTATAAGAATATTTGTTCAGAAGTATAAAGATACATGGCAGAGGAAACAGCCGAAAGAGTCAAAATTGCTTTCCTTTGGGACAGAGTAGAAAATGAAAAGAAATGGGACAGTGGTAACATTTTTTTAAAATTTGTTTTACCCAAATTCATTCTGATAAAAACAGATACTTTAATAATATGGTGACTATCGGGACCAGCAGATGATGTACTAGTTTTGTCACTAGATTCCAGGTAGTTGACCATGGTCTAGTCCTGAACCTGGTGACTTAAAATTCAGGCCAGGTGCATGTGCAGGCATACCCAAAATCCCAATAGGAGAACGGAGGAGAAGGGACTGCAGCACGACCATCCCTCCTGGGGGTGATATTTGTTCAGAAGTATAAAGACACATGGCAGAGGAAACAGCTGAAAGAGTCAAAATTGCTTTCCTTTGTGATTTCTCACTTTCTGTCTCTCTGTCTCTCTCTGTCTTTTCAGTGAGCAGCAAAAATTTCTCTTAAAAAAAAAGAATATGGTAACTGTCAGCACTGTGCAAATTGGATCAAAGGAGAGAGGTTTTTTTATTATTTAATTTTTTTTTCTCTTCTTAGGACCTGGCGTATCACGATACCAATGGCGGCCACTGATGCACTAAAGATGATTGTAGACAACCACATAATTTTTCAAGATTGTTTTGTTGCAGAGTTACATTTTCTTCTGACTGCTCCTTTGTTGAGACTTCCTGAAACTCCTCATTTTTTACCGATCACTTCACCACCTGGTAGTCCATTAATTTCTTCTTGGTTTCCTTGTTTGCCTTCAGTTGTTGTGGTGGTAAGTGATCAGGAGACCTTTCAAACAAATGATTCATTCCATACTTTGATCAGAGTCAGAGTGCCTCCAAACATTCTGAGTGATGATGAAAGACATAGTGTGTCTGATGTGACTATAACAACATCAGGAATATTTTTTCTAATACGTGGTGTTCTTTACATGAAAACTGCTTTTACGTTTGTAAGACTAGGAAGAAAAAATAATCTTCCAGATGGTGGACTTACTGGCATTTCAGCAAGAAAATGGTGTTCGGGTGAATATTTATTCAAGGTTAGTAAAAGATTATGTATAGATATCACACATACTTGTTTATATATTTACCATACTTTTTATTTGGTGATACATCAGAGACTGCACTATGCAGCTTTTTGCAGTTATTTTACCTAAGGCTGTTAATAACTCTTCTGGATGCAGTTTCTCAGAGGTCTTTTTACAGTAGAAATGTTCCTCCAACAGCAAAGAGTAAAATTAGTTTTACCAATATGTTACTATTATGTTTATAATTATATTATCTGTGCAGGGTAGTTCAGTCATGTTACAGGAACTATGTTTTACCTTGTTATGGGCAAAACGCTCCTCAAAAAACATTTTCCCCAAATAAAGAATGTGTGTTCTCAAAAATGAATTAAATCTTCCATTCCTAACAATGTGATGGATATGTTATCCCAAAGCTTTATTACTGTTTAAAACAAAATTTTAGACAAACGGACCTGCAGTTGGTGTAATGGCTATGTCGCTGGACTCCCATGGAGTCAACCAAGGTTTGAGTCCCGGACCCGGTGGCTTAAACTCACGTTGGGCACATGTGCGTACATGTGTGCCCAACATCCCGAGAGGAGAATGGAGGAGAAGAGATTGCGGTGTGGCCATCCCCCGGGGGGATTATTTCTTGCATTCTGTCTCTTTGTCTCTCCCTGTCTTTCTGGCTAGCGCACATGCCCTATAGCAAAAAACTCTCTAAAAATAAGAAAATTTTAGACAAACTAAAATTTAACAGAATTTATTTAAACAAAGGGCGGATAATTTAAATCAGGCAGTCTTTCAGAAAATGGCTTTTGAGGGACGCCAGTTAGCTTCATGGTCACAGGATATGTAAATTTGTGGAAAGGGAAAGTAACATACCAAAACAAAAGTGAGGGAGTGAGGTAGAGAATTCATTAGATTGGTTACAACTGGATAGTAGGCTGCATGAACAGCCTTATAGGTGGGCTTTCTGTGATTGAAGTGTGGCTAATGTGATTGTACTTGTAGTTCAGCAACCACCTCAGGAAAACAGACTAACACATGCAATTTCAGCTTATCCAGAGGAATCCAAGTGTGGTAGAACAGTGGCCATTTTAAGTCAAAATAGTTTAGTTTAACAATTTCCCCTCTTGGTCAGCGTTTTAAATGTTTGAGAAATTGACAAAAACTCAAGGCATTGGTTCTACTCTTCTGTTACTATTATAAATGACAATTTTTTGTATGCATATTTATTGTGGAAATGACAAGTTTTTTGGTCTTTGGCATGGAATTTACAAGTCATAATATTACACAAGTTGAACATGATGTCACACAAGTCAAATAGGTTTGTTTTGTTTTTATTGATTTGGCTAAAATAAGACTAATATTTGATGGATGGCTGTATATAAGCCATTTAAGACTCAAGAGGATAGAGTGCACTAGGAGGACTAATGTGATGGCCAAGGTGTACTCCCTACCATAAGTTTTTATGAAATAAAGCCAAACTGAATTAAACAGATTAAGGTTTAGGTAACATAGGCAATTTAACAGTATTTGAGCTTAGTTGTTTATTATTCTTGTCCAGCGTGTGATGATGATTAAGGATCATAGTTTTTTTTGTAAAATCCCCTGATTTAAAGAGTTATTTATTTATTTATTTATTTTTGTTAGTCTAGTAACACAACTTATAATAACCTGGAGAGAAATATAAAGATTTCCATTACTAGGAGAAATATAAAGGTTTAAAATTTTTGAAAAACTCGTTTGTCATTTATTATTTAGAATATCTGTAAACTATTAGTTGTATTTGTAAACGTTATATCTTTTTTTTTTTTTTTGAGAGAGACTTTTAAAATATATCTAGTGGGGGCCGACAGGTGGCATGGTGGTTAAGGGCACTGGACTCCCGCATAGCCAACTTTGGTTTGAGTCCCAGACCTGGCAGCTTGCTCTCTCGCTTTCTCTCTCTTTCTTGCTCTCACTCTCTCACTCTGAGTCTAAGGAAGCAGCAATATTAGCTACCGTTTTAATTAAACTTTCTGTGGTATTAAAGTCTGGAGAGAGGTACGTAAAATATTTAGTTTTGTTTATTATTAAGCATAAGTCTCTACCTGGAGCAGGAAGGAGATCTAAAGCTGTGTGATGCTTTATTTACTGTTTTCATTGAATTTGTATGTTACTGACTACATTTTGGAGAGTGGTCTCTACTCCTTTGAAACCCTGGGACGTCTGATTTGTTATCTAAAATTTTGTCTAATTTGTGTATAAGCTTTAAATTTTATATAACTGGTATTTCACTGTTACCAAGAGTTAGTTTTTATGAACCCCACTATAATTTTTTTAAGTGGGAACATATTTACTTTTATTTATTTTAAGGTTGGTACTCATTTTGGTAATTGACCATTTTGATCTATGTTTATATCACCATTATAAGGACTTCTAGGGGAAGCTATGTGAAAGTCAGGCAAGAATCAGGCTAAACAGCAAGCTACTGAGTAGGCAAATCAGAATAAGCAAAAATTTTGTAGACCCATTACAGGCTTTTGTGTATTGGAAAAGAGAGCAACCTAGTGACACTTGAACAGGGGTCAATTAAATTTGTCTGTCTATAAGTCTTTATGGCTCTTGAACAATGTCTAGTGGGGAGCATTTATTTTTGTGGTCCCATTATAGTATGTTGTATGGGCATGTAACTATATTTAGTAAAAAGAGACTTTACTGAATTTAGTTTAGTAACATTATACAAACAATTGTTTGTATTTACATAAATTTTAGATTTTGAATATGTGATTTCTGGAAACAGTATATTTTTTTGTATACATTATTTGAATAGGTTTTTTTATATTTGGTAACAGGTTATTATTTGGGAAAGTTAGAATGTAGTTTTTAATGAGTGTAGAAAACCTAATTAGGAGTGATATTTAGAATATTATGGATAGCCTTTTATTTTGGGGGGAATTGGGGTGGCTTTCATTGGGAACACAGAGGGTACTAGCACTAGAGGAATTGTTTTTTGATTTTTGGGCATTAACCCACAAAGCCAACTGTTTTGGTTTGGTGTAAAAGCATAAGCTTGAGCTAAAGCCTTATGGGCTTATGGATTTTTTTGTAGGGAGGAATAAATAGTTAAGATAGTAAGGAGTAAAAAAGGGGAAAAGATGTAGTTTTATGATGGCAGAAGTTATGATTTATAAATTTGGGCAAAATTGTCTTTATTTGGGATGCCTGTTTTAAATAAGAGTTTTCCCTTTTTTGTTATTCAGTTTTACTTCAAAGTTTCTAACAGGTGTACAGTCTCAAGAGTCTGAAGGGGCTCTTTTGAGTTGTGAAATGTGGACCCAGGGTTTGAGGCCTTGAAGCATTTCTTTAGTGTGGGTGGTGAGAAGAACTTGGTATGGTTTCTTTAGTGAGGTTTAAGGGCAGGTGTTTTGTTTTGTTTTAATGTCTTTTATAGAAGACTCAGCTTTTAGGTTTTAGACCACAAAGGATCTGATTGTCTCCAGTTGGTGGTTTATGAAAGGCTTTTATTTTACCTGGTGAAAATAAACTTTGGCATAATGAATGAAGGCTTTATAGTATTTAATCATACCAGAGTTTTCAAGAGCAGAAGATGTATGAGGTTTTATTATTAAGGGAATAGGTCTCTCAGTGACTATTTTATAAAGGGTTAACTTATGTTTTGTTAGCAGGAGTGGATTTGATTGTCATTGTCAATGGTAATATTTTTGGCTAAGGCAACTCAATTGACTGTTAATTTTGTTAATTTTAGTTTTAAAATGTCATTTGTTCTTTTGCCTCCTTTAGAAGACTGAAGGTGATAGGGACAATGGTAGTATAATTGTGTATATAGTGCTTGATTTAATTGTTATATAATTTGCTCAGTAAAACGGGTTCCTCTATTAGGAGAGGGTTTTTTTTTTTTTTTTTTTTTTTTTTTTTTAGGTATTTACCATAATAGAAACATATTTTTAATTAATTTCTTAGTTACTGTCATAGCATCTGCTTTCTTATACAGGAACGCCTCTACCCAACCAGAAAACATGTAAATAACTACAAGAACATATTAATACCCCATTGAGGGTGGCAGCTGAATGAAGTTCATTTGTAAATGTTCAGATGGTCCATCAAGTGGCAGAAATGTGTCACTTGATGTTTTGATTGTTTTTCTAGGATTATGAGTTTAACAAACCAAACATTGGTTGTAACCCATTTTAGTAGTTTTGGAGCAGACATCCCACCAATATTTTTTATAATTTGGATCATCTCGTTTGTTCCATGATGAGTTGTGGAGGGTAGAGTTTTGTTTTGTTTTGTTTTGTTTTTTGGAGAGGTTTTTGCTCTCGGGCATGTGTGCTCGCCAGACAGACAGGGAGAGACAGAGAGACAGAAAGTGAGAAATCACCCTCCAGGGGTGATGGCCACACCGCAATCCCTTCTCCTCCATTCTCCTCTCAGGATCTTGGGCACGCACGCACACACGCCCAGCATGAGTTTAAGCCACGGGGTCCGGGACTCGAACCATGGTCGACTACATGGGAGTCCAGCGACATAGCCATTACGCTAACTGCTGGTCCCGGGTAGAGCTTTTAACAATGGAATCTTAAAGGATTTAGGAAGAACCAGGGGGAAGTCCAAGTTGTTGTGAGCTCACACTTAATATTGAATTTATATCTCTTGAAATGCCAAGTTGTTTTAATTGAGCACATTGCATTGTTCATTAAGTAGGTCATTATAAGGGAGCTGACCTGGATCAATTTTATGGAGTTCATTTAAATTGCATATTCTAACATTGTCAGTATTAGCTGATTTAGCATAAAAATCTGCTCGGGCATTCTCTTGATATTTAGGTTCAGTTTTATAGGTATGAGCTTTAGTTTAAATAATGGTAATCTGTGATGGCAGTAGGAGAGCAGAGAGCAGCTCATTTACGTGGTGTCTTTGTTTGATGGGGGTCTCACTAAAAGTTAGCAACCCTCTTTGTTTTCATAAGATAATAAAATCATAGATTACTCTAAAGACATATCTACAATTTGTATATATATTTACTG